ATATATATATATATATATATATATAGAAATATATATAATATATATAGAGAGCGAGAGCGGAAGAGAGAGAAAGAGAGAGATTTTAATTTTTTATTATTAGACGACAAACTTGCAAAAATGGTCCCTGTGGTTGTCAAAAATATGTTGTTTTGGTCCAAAAACGTTTTGTGGTGCGTCACTAGTCGAATTTTGGATATTTTGCACAGTTTTGGTCTCTATCCTGTTAAATTTAACAACTTGGTTATTAAATTTTTTAAAATGATAGCTTTACCCTTAAGGACCATTTTTGCAACTAACTACAAAGACCATTTCTACATCTCTCTTTTTTAATTTTATTTGATTATTATATATTAATTTTTTTAATTAATTCTTGTTTTTTTAATTTCTTTATTGGATTAATATATTAACAAATATTATTTTACTATATAACATTTATATGGGGCTGTAAACAAACCGAACAAACACGAACAAAGGCTTTGATGTGTTTTATTTGCACTAGTTTTTTTATTTATAAAGTTCTATCAGATCTCAGCTAGTCTTAAACACAAATAGGCAGTATATCTAGTCGTGAAGTAATATGGTTGTGATAAGAAAAGGTGTCGAACTCAGGTAACTGGATGGTTTAAATGGAATCTTCGCGTGCACGCAATGTCTTGATTTTCCACGCCGTGGAAATGGCTTTGCCACGGCGTGGTAACTAGGAATCAGAATCGGGCATAAAAATGAAAGTCGTCTGAAATTTTTCTGGTTTGCAGAACATCTTGAATCTCGTCAATCAGAGTGACGAGTCATTAGATATGGTCAAACCACTAACGAGGGGTCAAGGTGTCTGCAACATCCTTTTTGCGTCTTTTTGTGTTTCGTTCTCCTCCTTCTGTATCATTGCTTCCATTTTAACTGTAATTAAACATTTTCAAGCATATGACGTATCATATATCTAAAAATATAATATTTTAATCAAATATATTAAGAAAATAACCTAAAATATATAGTTAAATAAGGTCATATCACGCTTGTTCATGTTTATTCATTTAAGTTAGCTGAACAAAAGAAGAGATATGAACGGATAAACGAACGAGTTTTCTTGTTCATATTCGTTCGTTTAATAAATAACATTGTTCATGTTCGTTTGTTTATGTTCGTGAACATGCAAAATGAACATAAACGAACAAAGATAAACAAACACAATTGAGCATATATAAACATAAACGAACACATAATATAGTAATGTAACAAAAAACAATTGAACATATATGAACATAAATAAACTTAAACGAACGAACATAAACGAACAACTTAGAAGAACGCTCACAAACATAAATGAACGAACAAGACTATTGTTCATGTTCGTTCGTTTATTAAATAAATGAACATAAACGAACTTCCGTCGAACGGTTCGTTTACAGCCCTACATTTATTTATTAATATTGACGGGTTCTTATTCACGACCTTCGTTCTTGACTGTCTTTATATTGACGAGTTCCTATTCACGAGATCTTCGATTCTCATATAGACTGTTTCGGCTAAAAATCAACTGATCCACATTTCAATTTCTATACTAACACAATTATGTTGAAACTTCGAAAAATCATAATTTCCTCATACGAAGTCAGATTTAGGCGTTCTTTATACGCACGAGTTCGCTTTCACGATTAATACAACTTTAGTTAAGATTATTTATCCAAAATAATATTATATCAAAACATATATTTCAAGGATTTTAATTATAATTACTATTATTATATTTTAATCATCTATCCCTATCTTACAGGTGTTACAGTGGTGCTGTCTAAAATATGTTATCTTCCAAATATTTAAAATAAATTAGGAGATGTGAGGCGGATGAGATTTTTTTGGGTTTTTTTATTTAAAATAATAAAGAAAAACAATTAAAAACAATTAAAACAAAATAATTAAAAAAATTAGTATGCAATAAAATAATACTTTTTAATATATAAATAATAAATATTTAAGATACTAATTATTAGAATATTATAATCCAATAAAAATAATTAATCCAATAAAAAAGAAATTAAAAATAAGAAAAAACATCATAAATGGTCCCTGTGGTTTCCCAAAATCTGAAGTTCAGTCCCCGTGGTTTAAAAACCTCATAGATGGTCCTTGTGCTTTCAAAACTTTTGACGATTGGTCCTTATTGCTAACTCCGTTAAGTTTGTCCGTTAAATGAAGGGCATTTTTGTCATTTCACGACCACAGGGATCATTTATGATATTTTCATTTATTAAAAAAAAGAAAAAAATGCACAAGGGGTCCCACCCCCATCTCTCTCTCTCTCTCTCTCTCTCGGATCAGACCTAACTATCGCCAGAGTCCATCTCCTTCCTCCACTTCCTCATCATCGCTCTGATCAATGTCATTCTTCCTCGATGATTCTTCCCCGGAATTCCAAAGAAAAATAATAACAAAAAGGATTCATCATAGAGTCTTCTCCCATTGAAAAGACATTGGATCGATGCTCAAGAAATACAACACCAGCGAGAGCTTCCACAAAGATCCCTTTTTTTGTATCTTTTGTGGAGTTCTTAAAGGATGAAGAACTGATGAAGGGGTCAAAAATCGATTTTCAGTTCAGAAACAAATACATAAAATCAATTGTTCTTGAAGAGAAAAAACCAGAAAATCAATTGGTCCTTGAAAGAAAGAAAGAAATCCAGAGCTGATGAACACACACTTCATATCCACCCAAGAACACATTGACATAAACATTCACACACATATACACCCACACATGTTTAGCTTTTTCAGATACGAATTCATTCTAAATAACCCTGACCCTAGTGCAGATCTGGAAAACTCCTCCAAGTTTAAAACCCTCAACCCAGGTGGAGTCCGGTAATTTCTATGTGGAGATGGAGGTGGTTGCAGGTGGTGGTGGCGGACAATGGTGGTAGTCGAGAAACTCCTCACGCATATGGACCACCTCCTACACGACATCATTTATTACAATCATAATGACCTTGCTTTGTCCCCAACTAAATCGAAACCACCGCCGTCGAAATTAAGGTTTGCAGATCGGATTTAACAGGCAGCTTCAGCTCCATTGTGTGCGACTCAAAGGCCACTCGTCTGATGGGTACGCGAAGAGAAGATCGTTGTGTGTGTATGTCTGTCAGTGTGTGTGCCGATCATTAGGAGGCTGAGCAAAGGGGAATATGTTGATGGTTTGGGAGAAGATTCTTGAAGATGAACTTTAAATCTAGGGCTTCACAACAAAGAGAGAGAGAAAGAGTGATGATGAATGATGATGTTGTATGAGATGAAGCTCTTTCCCCAAACCAGATTTCCTTTTTGAAATGAAAAAAAATCAATTTTTGGGGTTTCATTTTTTGCGTTTAAGGAGAACAAGAACACAAATCTCTAACCATCAAGTAATGTCTTTTTTCTCTAAAATCAAACCTTCGAACCTTGATCACTATGTATGTGTTTTGATTATTTAAACATGTGTAGGTGTTCATCAGTAGGAAGAATATGATGATGAAGATAGAATATGATGATTAAGATAAACACTTTTGTTTAGAGAGAGAGATAGGTGGGACCCCTTTTGCATATTATTTTTTTTAATAAATGAAAATATCATAAATGGTCCCTGTGGTCGTGAAATGACGAAAATGCCCTTCAGTTAACGGACAAACTTAACGGAGTTAGCAATAATGACCAATCGTCAAAAGTTTTGAAAGCACAAGGACCATCTATGAGGTTTTTAAACCACGGGGACTGAACTTTAGATTTTGGGAAACCACAGGGACCATTTATGATGTTTTTTCTAAAAATAATTGACTGTAAGAAATTAATAATCTAATAAAATAATATTTATTAATACATAATCATCCAATAAAAAAGTACTAATCCAATAAAAAAATTAAAAAAAGATTTAATTAGAAGAAATGAATAATCTATTAAAAAATGTTTATTAATATATATTAAAATACTATTTTATCAATATATAATAATTTAGTAAAAAATAATTAATCTTATGAAAAAAAAAATTAAAAGAAATTAATAATCCAATAAAATAATATTTATTAATATATAAATATTATATATTAAAAATAATATTTATTAATATATAATATTCCAATTAAAAAATTAACCCAATATAAAAAATAGAATAAAAATAATTAATGTATAATAATTAAATAAAACTAAAAAGAAAAGATGCAAAACAAGTCATTGTAGTTTTGTAAAAAGACACAGTTGCATAAATGGTCTCTAAGGGTAAAATTGTTATTTAAAAAAAGGTTAACAACTAAACTGTTAAAGTTAATGACATAGGGACCAAAACTGCACAAGATATCCAAAATTGGACTAGTGATGCACCATCAAACGTTTTTGGACCAAAATCATATATTTTTGACAACCATAGGGACCGTTTTTGCAATTTTGTCTTATTAAAATATTTAAATAACTAAAAAGAAAAAAAAAAACATATTAAAATGGGTAAAAATTGTTTTTAGGTGCAACAAATGCAAACCATATAGAGCATCTGTGTCAAAAATCCAATAGAGTGAACAAGTGTGTGAACTTGGACAAACCACAGGGACCAATGTGTAGTTTACTCTCATTTATATGAATTTAATATGTGAGGCATTAATTTAAAACGACTAATAGACTAAAAACATAACAAAAGTAATTATTAAAATAGTTTTATAGACAAAAAAAAAGTTACAAACACTTTTCAAATTAAGACCATATCATTTGAATCAATAAAACACGTAGACAGAACTGCATTTTACCTCAAGAATAAAGAAATAGGTTTGTACAATTAGACAAAATCATTTAAACATGATATAAAAAATAATTAAACTCTAAGCAAAAAAAATTAGAAACTAAATAATCACATTTTAAAAGTTTATCATGAAAAAAAAAAATGATATTACGATGACCAATATAAAATTATTTAATTATGGATGCATGCGCATGTATGTAATATGTATATTGTACTTTGTACCCTTTATATATAAGCACCTAGTGTGTATGAAAATGAAATATCTCAGATTCATTCTCACGCTAGACAAGAATCAATCTCTCTCAAGTCGAATCCAATCCGATTCCAGTGAGATACGCGAGCACGGATTCACTATAGTGACAGAAAACAGCGTTAATTTGATCATCGGAGGAGTAGTGAAAAGTGAAAAGGACGATGAGATTCGGCGTTCTCCAGTGCGCAGAGGACACTGATTACGTGAAGAAGAAATACGGAGGTTACTTTGGGGTGTTCCTGAGAATGCTGGCGGAGGAAGGCGAAATTTGGGACGTGTTCCGTGTTGCCGACGGAGATTTTCCTGACGACGGGGAGATCGGAGTTTATGACGGTTTCGTGATTACTGGTAGCTGTAAAGACGCATACGGCGACGATGCTTGGATCTGCGAACTTCTCACTTTACTCAACAAATTACAATTAATGAACAAAAAAATTCTCGGCATTTGCTTCGGTCACCAGGTAATTAAGTTTCATCGATTATATATATTTTTGATTAAGTCAAATTATTCTTTCTGCAAAACTTATTCAGTTATCAGCTAATTAAACTCTGAGCTTTCGTTTCAACTTTCAAACATGAAGATATTAGATATCATGTTCATGTGTCATATTATTAAATACATAATTAAGCACAACAAAAGGTTATTTATGTGTTGATTTAGAAACCAAAAAAATTGAAGTTAGAATTTTTATAGTTTTAGCGATCTATGTGTTAAATTTATTCATAGTCATTTTTTATTAAAATTTGTTATTTATTTTATTTTTTTTGAAACGTCAAATCTAACATACTCCTAAACTACACCTTAAATTCACCTATGTTCACGACGGGACTTGAACCGTAAACCTCAAAGACGGAGGGCAACACCGGATACCGCTGGGCTAGAAAAACAATCAAGTTGATGATTAAGAAACGGGTAAAAACAATTAAATGACCATATTTTTTTAGTTTAGTTTTGGTATTAAGAAAAGATTAAACCACTATATATATTATTTATCGTAAACATACCTACGTTTTTATACAACAATAACATCAAACTTACCTTTGTTCAATCTTGATGAATTTCGGACGAGAGATTTAATCATAAGAATAATTTAACAATGCAAACAATATTGTGTTATTGATAGTTTAAATAAAAAGTTAATTAAAACTGAAGAAACATTTTTCGCGGTATATCTATAACAATATAATAAATAAGCTTGTTGTTTGAGCATGCAATTGCAAAAAAATGTGAAATTGCAACAAGCAAAAAATAAATAAATAAATGTTTGTTTTGTTAATGATCTTTTTCCAAAGTTCATACCTAGACTCATAAACAAACTTTTTATGAATTTTAATTTGATTTATTCCAATAATTAGTGAGTAGTTGAGATTTGAGAATGGTCCCATAACATATGATTTATGAGTGGATACACAATATATATAATAGGGTAAAAAGACTAAAGAGTCCTACACTACGGGATAAAAAGTTGTAGCCTATAATGTTCAAGTCCCAATATGGTACTTGATCTTTAAAAATTGTCGGCTAATTTAGAATAGTTGATACATGATGTTTAAGTTAGGCGAACAAAATTAATCAATGGATCAAAAGAGTAAGTTGATGATTCTGTGACAAGAGATTCCATTATAGACCAAGTTATTTGCTTTTTATCCATCTTTATTATTTGCTTTTTTTGCTTCGTTGTACTTTGTATAAAAACATCAATCTATATACTCTTTTTATTAATACATGGTTATCTATATATAGAGATTGCTTTTTTGCTTCGTTTTGCATAAACACATTCCTTTTTCATAAAATATATCTATACAATGAAATGTGAAAAAGAAAGGGGTATGTGTTTCATGAGTCAACCTAATCGTCCAACATATGACTTAGGCTTTTCTGAGTGGGCACGACAAAGATGATGTGGCATGTTTTTGTCATGACGCACACCGCCCAACCTCCACGACAAGGGCCTTCAACTCTCTCTCTCTCTCTCTATATATATATATATATATATATATATATATATATATATATATATATATATAATGGCACCACTCCTGAGTGGAGCTGAGTTGCTGAGATGGAGTTCGTCACTCATGATACCATTCCCACCAGCTTTATTTCTTACTTATCTTTTTATTAAAAGAGTTAGTTGTTTTGATATCATGTATTCTTATTTATCGGATATGATGAGAACAAAAAACACCAAACACAATCTATATTTTAATAATTTATCTAAAATTCTCAATAAACTTTCAAACGTTAATTCTCAAAATGATTAAATATATATTAATTATGGTTCCTATGTTTTACTAAAAACCGCAAGTTCAATCCAAATTTTGTAATTATTTCAATGTTGTCCTTAATTTTATATTTTGTTGCGAGTATAGTCCCATCCTATATAAAATGACTTCAAAGTTTTGATTGAACTTATGTAAAACACTTGTACCGTGTTTCTTGAACTTATTATACTTATTTGTGTGATTTTGGATCTAACTTGTAATTGTTTCATTGTTGTACTTAAGTTTGTATTTCTTGAACTTATTACACTTAATTTGTACTTGAAAATTACATACATTTTTTTAAAAATAGTTGGTATTTGAAAAACATAACTTCGTGACCAAAATTAAAAAAACCAAATTTATAATTTTAAATTAATTGATTTACAATACGAGTAAAGTACAATTTTAGTCCCTATAGTTGGCACTCATAGTTTGAAAGTTCATCACGATTGGTCTTTGGCCAATGGCTAGTTACTATCATACCCATTTATTTTTTTATTTTTTTTTATTGATTTTTATTATTAATAAATTAGCTTTAAATAATTAAGGAGCCACGTACCCACCACCACTCATATTTCGTCGACCGTATTTTTTAATGGGAAGTGATTCGTACACAACAGTTTTTATCCATACACAACATTTTATGCTTAATAGAGTTGTACGATACAACGTTTTTTAGCACAAATTGTTATGTATGGAGAATTTTTGTTGTATACAAATCAACTCCTTTTCTAATCACTCCTATGGTACCGAGTACCGACCACTTTCGTTGCACTAAACATCAGAAAACTTAACCCCTGGGTTCCCTCATTTGATACCAACCACCTTCGTCCCCACTAAAAATCAAAAAACTCAGCATGTCTCTTCTTGTCCCAAACCATCTTCAACCCCACTAAAAATCAAAACCCGATCAACTCATCTAGTCTCAACGCACCTTCGTTCCCATTAAAATTCATAAAAGCTTAAACCAAACAAAAGTAGTTACCATCTCACAATGTAGGAAAACTCACTCGTCTCATTACCCTCGTTCTTTCACTGAAAACCAATCCCACCCCAGAGAAAGACAGCAATGCCACTGGCCATGTCGGGGGACACTGACAATAATGACATTAACAATTATTGTAAATAATAATAAATCTAAACTTACAAACAATTTTTATTCTTTTGTAATTTGTGGGTAAATATGATTGGGTTATGTGGTTCCAAAGTAATGTACAACATTAGATTGAAAATTGCACATAATTGTATTTATGTGCAACCCGTTGGTTGAAGTTATTGAAATCATATGGTTCCAATATACGTGCATTAGGTAACTACCATAACTCTTTAATTCTAACCTTCCAATAGATATTTCTTTTATTGTATGGCTCTTATCTTAACTTTTTAATATATATAAAATTTATTATTTCATAATTAACAACTATAAATTAGTTTTCTAACGACATCTACTTGTTAATATTCTAAATACATTTCATAATTTGTAAACGCTCGAGTATATGCTTAGTTATAATAATTGTAAACACCATCAGACTTCTAATTAACCATTAAAAAATACAAAACACAAAATATTAAAAAAAAAATCTTCCAAAATTCACCAAAAGGATGTAACGGCCTTCTTTAGCACACCAAATAATAAGTGAAGGCACAATTTTACCCAAAAAAAATGTAAGAGTGGTATTGTTTCGATTTTATCTAAAAGTGGCACATTAAAATCTGGAACCTTATTTGTCTGCATTGTGTAGGGACATTAGACATAGATAGGAATGGGACAACTGTATTGTCCTCCTGGTGTACGATTGCATGATTATATCCATCATATTTTTCATATTTCATAAAAAAAGAACATGAATATCTTACAAATCTTACAAGACATTTGACTATGAGTTAAGTGATTCACATGATCATATATATGATCATTCTTGACAAACGTATCCAACTACGACTAACAGACTATCTCTATATACGATACTACGTCAAAAATAAATGATTTAATTAAATCATTTTGAATTTGTAAAATGTTAAATTGTATTATCTTATGTGTAGATACTGGCACGTGCCTTAGGAGGTAAAGTTGCACGTGCAGAATCAGGTTGGGACATTGGTGTCCGAAGCATCAACTTGTCGTCATCATCCATGAAAATCTTTTCTAATTTAGAAATGCCAACAACATTATCTGTGATCGAATGCCATCGTGATGAGGTACGTACATGTATATCATTCTAAACCCCCGTAATTACTATGGATTTTTATGATATACGAATTAAACAATACTTTTCAAAATAATAATAATAATAATAATGAACAGGTTCATGAACTCCCGTCCGAGGTGGAGGTGTTGGCATGGTCAGACAAGACTCGAGTTGAGATGTTCAGGTACCGGGACAACATCATGGGTGTTCAAGGTCACCCGGAGTACTCCACTGATATTCTTAAACAACTCATAGATGATCGCCTTCTTCAATGCAATCTTATTGAGGTGTGTTTTTGAAACGTCTTGTTTTTTTTTTTTTTTTTTAATATAATAGGTTGGTAAGTAGTTTGTATGACTTTTTGGTGATTTTGTTGTGTTGATAATTGACATATAAGTATATGTGCAGGAGTCTTATGCTGTGGAAATTAGGTCTAAGCTGGAGATGGACCCAGATATGGAGTCTTGGAAGGAGCTATGCACCAGCTTTCTCAAGGGTAGATTATGATGGAGGAACATAAGTCATTATATAAATGGTTGATTCGAGAAAAGCATTGTTATATCTTTTAATCGACAGTAATCAAAACGATTATATCTTTTAATCGACAGTAATCAAAACGATTATATTGACATGTAAGATGTGATGCAGTCGTTTTTCAAGGCAGATTGTCAATATCTACCTCTCCTATCCATCTATTAGATGGCTTCCATGGCCTACATATTATTGTTGTTGTTTCTTGTGTTCATTGTAATATAACTACTGAGAATACAAAAATGTTGTGAAGTGGTTTATTATATGATAAGTTATTTGTCTTTTATTCAGTAGGTTTTGCTTATTTTTGGAATAACTAAAAGGAAAGTCATTAAAATCACGATCTTATCCTCCGATATAATTTTAAGTGGAGAACCCCAAATATTAACCATTGGGGTTTTCTCAAAGATGTTCAGTAGTGTTTTCCAATCAAATATCAATGAAATGAAATAAATTAATATGTTTTGTTTTATAGAAAAAAGACATCCAAAAAACACGATGATCATATCACCAAACATCCATATCATTTATTGGCCGGTAAAGAGTTCTTTAGTTCATATTTCTCATAAAACCAGCAAACAATCAAATTAAAACCATAGCCACCAAATGACCAAATCAAATTCAATCAAGACAGACAGCTTACTTAAGCTGTAAGACCTGAGCTCCTCCTGCACTCCGCCAGCATATCCATGTAAAACTGGCACTTGCTGATGTCACTACCAGAGCTGTTAATGCACTGCATATGCATCCAAACAAAACAAAAATATACATCAATCACCATTAACAAAACATTCATCAACAACATTTCAATATATTAAAAATGAGAATGTAGACATACATCTGTGAATGCCTTGGAGTGCATGCCACAAGCATCAGAGACAGAGGTGTTTGTAGCAGAGGCATCTGGAACAGCAGCACCAACAGTTTCATGTTGAATTGTGCGAGGACCCATGATAGAATCCACAGCTCTGTGAGCAACAGCACTTCCAGTACCAAAAGCCAAGCCTAACATACCAACAGTGTCAAAATATAACTCAAATTCATAAAAACACGAAAGAAAGAAAAAGTGTATACGTATGATAATGATGTAGGATATGGTTTATTTTGATATATACCTTGAGCTATGGTCGAACCAATGCCTCCAAGCATAGATCCACCACTGCTAGACTGAACAGGGGCAGGAGGGGGTGATCGGTTAACTGGTGCTGGAGGTGGAGCACGAGCAGGTGCACGAGCTGACCTTCCTGCAACAAATGGTATGGTCATATGGAATTGCAAACACAACAAAACATATAAACATAACAGCCATAACAGAAGTGCATCTTGTCTAACATGATTAAAAAAATGCTAAAAGCAGTATATGATTTGTTTTGCAAATCAAAACCAAACTATTGATTAATCTTACAAATTAGATTGTCTGAATGTGCAACTCGAAGCCAGTAAAGTTTACTTGTCCAAAAAGACAGGTCAATTCTAGGGTTCTTCAGAACAGATTGATGCAAACATCAATTAGGAACTCATATAACATGCACAGAGAAAGGAATACACGTATGCTGCTGAAATGACAACGATACGACCATCGGACCACAAATGATGATTTCCCTAATTCTTACAAAGTAAAATCTAAATATCTACAACCCTACTATTCCTCGATTTCAAAAGATCTCTATGGTGCAGGTAAACAGAAAACGAACACAAACGCATGGCACTACAGTCAAATCTCAAACAAATCTTCCATTCAAAAACAAACGCAGGGAACCCTAGAAAACGGAAATGGTGTAGTTACATGGACAAGATATTTCCCACACATATTGAAAATTATTGATGGATAGACACGAACGATGGAACAGTGGATAAATGGTTAGGAAACTTACCACCGGAGCTTCTGCGAGGCATGTTGATTACGAGAGAAACAAAGAAGCGGCGAAAACTAAAGAGAGAAAATTAATAGATTGGAGACAAAAAGCTTCGGGTGATTTACAATAAAACCCTGATGCGGTGATGCCGTATCGGTGCCTCTTTATAAGGAAAGGTGTACCTTGTCATGGTTGTACGTTACGAAATCCAAGTTGTACCTTGTTGTGTTGAGAGGTTATTGTTGACTGAGCAATCGCGATCGTGTGTTTCTCTAGAAGCGTCTTATTCCTCCGTGTAAAAAAATTGTTGGTTACTCGACCAATCAGAAGCCTAACGCCCTAACCACGCTATCTGGGTCGGGTCGGGTCGATTTGAATTTCATATTAACTTGTTTTCCAAGTAAAACAGCCTTTTTTTCGTTGTCCCATTTTTTTTTTCCTGTCAAAAACCATAAATTTCTTTTCGAACAAATTACTGAATTTGTTCTTATCATCTTTATTAAAATTTTGTATTTGGTCTCTATCTTTTGTTTTGCATTCGGACCATCCCTAATTTTTTATTTTGTTACGTTGTAAGCCCCTGCCTGATTGGAAATGACTATAATACTCTTATATTTTTTTTCAAATTATTTAAATTATTTTATAATTTATCAATTGAAAAAGAAAATAAAAAAGGGCCCACAACCCATCACCTCCACTCACCTCTCTCGACTACAACTTAGCAAATGTCGTCGGAGCCACTGGACCAGCGTCGGAACCCACTGAAAACCTCACCAGCTTCATCTTCTCCGATTTTTCTCCACACCTACCTCTGCCGGAAACTAGCTTCATCAACCCAAGGCCCAAACTACATCCCCCTCTGGCACGTATCACAATATTGTCCGCTTTAGGCCACTCGGCACAAGGACTTCCCAGGGGGTCACCCTTCCCGGTACTACTCTCGCCCGAGCACGCTTAACTGCAGAGTTCTTATGGGATCTGTTGCCCTCACGTCTTTAAAACGCGTTGTGACAAGGAAGGTATCCACACCCCTTATAAGGAGATGTTTCGTTCTCCTTCCAAGCCGATGTGGGATAAGTTGCAACTGCTCCATCACATTCCTATGTCCTGCTTGTTTTATCCCTCTGTTCGAAGCCACGACGTCTACGACATTTCATCCATACTCCTTCACCGCCGAATGTATTTCATCCCTCCTTTTTATTCACCTTTTACCTACATCTCCTTCCGTTTCCCTCTCCACCATCCCTTATGGAATTCCGACTCAGACTTTCCCCTTTGTGACCTAAATGTCGTTGCAACTCAATCATCAGTTTGAATGGGATTGCACCAACCCTAGAAGCTGACCCCTAAAGAGATTCATTTTTAGTTTCATCTAGGTTCAATTGATTTGAGTATTGTCTGATTTGTGGATTTAGGTTGCAGTTGGGTTTCATCTATGTTGGTAATCGATTGTCATGTTGGTGGTGAGATTTAAGAGAAAGAAGGATTGGTACATTTCAACATTAGTTCATGCAAAATCCCCACTAAAACCAATATTCAAGTTGAATCTTGGTTTTGAGTTGCAAGTCCTGCCGGAATCTTGGTTCTGAGTTGTAGGCCTCGCCAGAATCTTTGTTCTGAGTTGCATGTCTCGCCGAAATCTTGGTTCTGAGTGGTGGTTGTTGGTGTTTAGCGGGGTTTGTCGATGCCTGGTAATTGTTGTTGGGGGGTTGTTGTGTGTGGTGGTGGTAGCTGGTGGTTGTGACTGGTGGTCGGTGGCAGTTGATGATGGTTGATGGTGAACGGTGAACGGTGACTGGTGGTGAGAGTTTGAGCCGAAGGAGTGGTAGTGCAAGTGGTCCCATTTTTTAATAAATTAATTAATTTATTTTCTTTAACTAAAAATATAATTAAAAACTCAAAAAGAAAATATTAAGGGCATTATGGTCATTTTCTATTAGGTATGGACTTATAACGTAACAAAAACAATAGTCAGGGATGATCCGAGTGCAAAACAAAAGATAGGGACCAAACATAAAATTTTACTAAACCATAGGGACGATTTCTGTAAATTGTTCTTTCTTTTTTTCATCCACATATAAAAACTAAAGTAGTTACAAACTAGCTTAATAGTCTTTTTGATATAGTAGAAATTACAACTTTTGTTCAAGATTTGGTTCCTAACAACACTTCTTTTGTGAGAACCGTTTGTTTGGTAGATGCAATTTATCTTGTACTCTTAGCATTCATCTTGTACTCTAACATTCATCACGTGCAATTTCGACATTCTTTCTTCTATCTTGAATTTCCATACCTCTCCTATGAAATAATATATTTTCCTTCATTCTTTTTCTTAAACCGCTATAAATATTTATTACTAGACGAATGCCCGCGTGTTGCGCAGAAACACCCATATAGTTTGAAACGACCCAATTTTTCACGTCCGAAAATTTCCTTTTTGGTTAATTGATTTGTAAAACATTTGTATTAAAACATCATCCGATCATATCATTTCATAAAAATATATCTCGTGTCTGAAAACCAAATCATAAAATAATAATAATGTCAGAGTACAATCCCAGAACATCTCATAATGCGGAAAAACCAATGCGTGTGTGTATGATGTGCCGCTACCGCGCCAGCTCCTTCCCCTTCGCTGAAGAGGTACCTGAAACAAAACTGTAAACTGTAAGCACGAAGCTTAGTGAGTTCCCCCATCGTCCACATACAATACAATCATATAGCATACATACTGCCAGGCATTTATGGGGTGCCCGACCTACCCGGTACGGCCATTCTGGGGTGCCGACCTACCCATGCGGCCATTCTGGGGTGCCATCCTACCCGTGTCAAGCCATTCTGGGGTGCTGACCTACCCATGTCGAGCCATTATGGGGTGCTGACTACCCTTCGGTCCTAACAACCGAACCTCGGGGACTATTTCACCCCTACTACTACTATCGCATATATCATAGCATAATCTACTGTCAGACATATCTGGGGTGTCCGACCTACCCTTCGTTCCTAACAACCGAATCTCGGGGACTATTCCCCCTCCTCCTACCTCTAGCCCATGTAACATATCATGCTAGCAGCTAAACATATCATAACATACTGTTAGGCATATATGGGGTGCCTAACCTACCCTTCGGTCCTAACAACCGAACTCTATCACTATCACATATCATATCACGCTAGCATATAACATATCAGGTAGTAGCAACACAGATGGATATCACAAAGACAAACATCTATCATACGATTCCTACTGGTGGGCCGGCATTGTGGCCGTAGACCCACCGCTACTGGAAGGTAACTCACCTCGTAGTAGCTGTTGATCTGTGCGGGA